AAATATTCAAGTCTTCAAAAGGGAAAAAGCAGTAAATGGGTTCGAATTGAAAAAACAATAAAGGGGGGCACACTAGCCATCACAACCCCGAAAACAGATCACTGATCCTTGACGTCGGGATCCTGCTGCATCTCCTTGGGCAGAACGGCAGCCTCGAAGTCCTGGCCAGCCATGAGATCCCTGTTAGTTCCGAACTCATCAATGGCGACATCATCTTCGGGAAGAGATGCCTTTTGCACGGGTTCTGGGGGAGTCGCTACAAAGAGATGAGTAAACTCATTTGGTTGTGGTCTGAGAGCGCTTACCTCGCGAGCCTTCTTCTCAGCCTCTTCCTCATCTTTCTTTACCGACTCTAGTTCGGCTTTGATGTCCGGAATTTCTCCTTTCAGAATCTCCTCAAGAAGCTCTCGGTTCGCCCGAGTCTCGGCAAGACGCGTCCCAATCATCTCGTTATCGCTTATGGCCTTGTAGTAGGTCTCATGCTTCGAAGCGAGTCCGCTATAGAGTTCACGGAGCCTCATCCTTTCATCTTTTTTCGCTGCTGCGAGCTCCTCGTCCCGTTTCTCAGCAACAATCTTGCACCATTCCTCGCTTCGCTTAACTTCAGCTTCCAGCGAGGTAATCTTATCACATGCCTCGAGGTACATGTTCTTTCCGGAATTCAGCTTCTCGGAAAGATCAGTCTTGGCAATTTCAAGAAGGTTGCAGCGAGCCTCGGCCTCCAGCATTCGCTCCCGGATCTCGTTCGCCTTCGCCACCGCCCTGGCATTTTCTTCCTCCATCTCCTTGAGTTGACGGATCTCGTCTTCAAGTTCGGCAACCCGAGTTCTGAGACCGTCCAGCTCGTTAACAGGAAAGAGCTGGGACTCGTGGCAGGAGAAGGTGGTGTTGTACTCGAGCATTAACTGACAAAACGAAGATTCATGAGGACGTAAAGGAAATATATATATCTTTTATATAAGGAGAAAGGTTCAAAGTATTACCTCTCCGAGTTTATCAGCGAAGCGAAAGTAGTTCGCTCTGTTGACCTCCTTTAAGTCACTAAAGGGAGGGATCCTCATCCCAACAGGAGTAAAGTTCCTCATAAAATCAGCTGGTGACTTCGGAGGAGCTGTTAAAATAAAAAACAAGTCAAAACGAAGTCGAAGTTAGAAGAGTACGAAGTGACTCTACTTACCAGTAGGGATCGGAATCTCCTGACGGACGGATCCCCGATTCTCAGAATCCCGCGAAGGCAGGACAAGAAGCTGAGTTGGCAGCTCGGACTCCGGGGCCCGTTGTGAATCTCCTTTTTCTTCTGGTTTCGACCCCAGACTGGGTCCAGCGTCCTCGGAAGGTTTTTTTCTCCTCGTTCAGACGAGAACGACTCTTGCGTTGAAGGGGAGGAACTTCAGATTCCTCGTTCCTGCGTTTCCTTGAGGAGGTTGCAGTGTGGCCTCCTTCCGAATTTTCTTTTTCCCGAGAAGATCGGGAGGAGCGAGAATCTGAGATCCGGATTATGTCTTTTCCCGAAGACACCTTTTGATCACGACGATCGGAGGTCTTCGACTCGGAAACCGGATCTGCGGTACCCGAACTCTTCCCTTTACCAGATGAAGATCTGGCTTTCCCATCATCTAAGGCCTTCACCATCCTGGCCTTATCTTCTTTTTCTCTCGCTTCTCTTGCTTTTTCCCTTTCCTTCTGGAGCTTCTTCTCCTCGCGATAGGAAAGTGGAGACATGTTAGTGGCAACAGCAGGGGATGAGGGAGGGGTGGAAGAAATGAGGTCGGACCGCGAGTAAATTCGGGCACACGAATTTCGGATGCGTTCGCAGGTGAACAATTCCCACGTGAGGTCGCTGCGATTGCAAATCTTTACGAATTGCTCCGCAAAGGTATGAGAAAGTGGCTTCTTTGGGAACTTGACTGCAAAAGACAAAAGAAAAAGGGGTTAGTTCGTTGAAAAGCAAAGTTAGGAAAAGAAAAACACGCAATACAATCCCTAAAAAGCCATCTAACCCGGACGATGTGTCCATTCTCGGACAAAAAATTATGTGTTCGGACCATAGGAGAATTCGTCAACAGGGAAGAAGAAATATGATTTCCTCCATTTCTCGTCTTTCTCAGGGAAGTCCGCAAAGACCCTGAATTTACTTCGCGGACTGAGAAAGAAGGTCCCCGAAGTTCTCCCTTTCTTCATTGTGTACAACTGGAAGATGTCGGAGAGCGTGATTCGATATCCATTTTCTTCAGCAAGAGTCTGAAGACAGAGTACTACCCGAACTACATTTGGGCAGAGTTGAGGTAAGGCAATCCCTAGTTCGTGCATAAGTTCTACCAGAATCCCCGGAATAGGAAAAGACAGGCCGCACTCCGAGAAGAATATTTCGAAGGCGCAGCTGTGATTGATAGGAGGAGAATCGGGAGATTCCTTCGATTCTCGGGCTATCAGCTTAACTTGACGTGGGATCTCGCAAGCGCCTTTCATCAAGGCTAGCCTTTTATCGTCGAGGTCCGAGGAGAAGTATTTCCCGAATTCACCTTCCATGATGAAGCATTCACTCTGAATTTTCTTGCTTTTCCTCGGAGCCATAACACAATCAAGGAAGATCTGGAAGCGTAAGAAGATCTGGAACTATTTTCAAAAAAGAAACACTTCAAGAACAGCTTCGAAGATCTTCGTGGAAACCCAGAAACCGGGAAGATTAAGCGGTCGATGTTCTTCGGAGGACGGTTGCGATTCACCGGAATATCAAGAACACGGCGGAGGAGATGAAGAACAGCGAACGATTTTGGAGCAGAGGGCTGAAAATCTGAGAAATCTTTTAGATTTCTGGCCTAAATCTAGCACGGAACTAATCTAGGGCGGTGAACTAACACGAATCCGAAACTAAATAGCAAAAACTAAGCATAATCGGAAGGATGTTAAGAGAGAAAAGAAAAGAGGGTTCGGTACCTTAAATAAGCAGACGACGAAGTGTGAATGAACTTGAAGCGGTTGTACAGAACCCGAAGAGTCCAAACGAGTATTTATAGGAGTCTCTAGCGGGAATATGAGAACCCTAGGATATCGAAGCGTCGCCCCCATCCCGAGGATAATCCCTCGATCCGCGGGAAAATTGATACCGTAAGATCTCGAAACGTCATTTCGGTCGTGGAACCAAATCCCGGGAAAAGTGGAATTAATGACGGGGTTTTCTGAGCCCGAGTAGAGCTTGGCATTTAAAGTATCCCGAAGTATTCACTTCGGAACACTTGGGGGGCAAACTGTTGGTGTCGGATCCCGCAATTCGGATCCGGCCCAGAAAGACAGTAGATTGTGGGCCGTCAGTTCGGTTTAGGGGACGAAAAGAACGGCCCAGTAGGCTCCAGCCCAGGTCGAGTGAAACGTCGGGATCTCGACGTTTAAATGAAAGGCAGATCACACGGAATCTGCGAGATCATGGAGATTCGTAACGTAAGCAATGATGAAGGCGAAATTGGAGGCTTGATTGGCGATTTCGGTTTCGGATTATGTAACTATAAATAGGACACAAAAACCATTGTATTGGGGACCGAATTCTTGAGCAATATACAGATACATACACTTCACTCTTTTGTTTTCTTTTTCACGATTGTTATTCGAATTAGCAAGGCTAGACGACCCGATACACATCTTAAAATTTGTATTGCGGATTCCGACATCCACAAGGCCGGGTGAGACATAAGTATTGTAAGCTTCCAACTGTGGCGCGATATTCAGTGCCATCGGGTAGAGGATCACCAGACAAAAGCGTTAATACTTGATTTGAAGCCATAGGTGTTGCGACAGGCTTAGCGTCAGCCAATTTTGTCTTCCTAAGCAAGACGGTGATATACTTGGTTTGAGTGAGATGAAGTCCTTGAGGTGAACGAGAGGCTTCCATACCAAGAAAGTATGAGAGTTCACCGAGCTCCTTAAGTGAGAACTTCGCAGCAAGAAGATCGGTGACCCGTTTGAGTTGAGTTGAGGACGTGCCGGTGATAATTATATCATCAACATAGACAAGGATGTAGATGAATGACGAAGCGATCTGGAGAACAAAGAGTGAAGCATCGGCAAGAGAGTTCTTGAATCCAATGCTTACAAGAAAATCCTTAAGAGCAGTGTACCAAGCGCGCGGTGCCTGTTTAAGGCCATAGATTGCCTTCTTTAGACGACAAACATGATTTGGTCTGTCTTTATCAATGAGCCCTGGTGGTTGTAGCATGTAAACCTCTTCCTCTAAAGGACCTTGAAGAAAGGCATTGTTAACATCAAGTTGTTGTAGAGGCCAGTTGCGAGCTACGGCTGTTCCAAGAACAAGTCTAATGGTAGCATGCTTGACAACAGGACTGAATGTGTCATGGAAATCTACTCCAGGGCGTTGATGAAATCCTTTGGCTACAAGCCGTGCTTTATACCTGTCAACAGAACCATTAGGTAAGCGCTTAATACGATACACCCACTTAGAGCCAACAATGTTTTTAGCGAGAGCTCTATCAACAAGCTCAAACGTATCATTGCGGACAAACGCATCAGCTTCATCACTCATGGCACGCCAGGCTCTGATACCATGTTAAGTTCTATGGACTTCCAACTCAAAACCAATTGGCAATGAGTGGAGTGGCCCATATCCCTTATATATTACTTAGGATCCCTTCCAACTTCCGATGTGGGACATTATGTCCTAATACGCCCCCTCGAGATGATGGCTCTTTGGCCATTAATCTCGGAATGTTCGGGCTTAGATCGACGGCATCAATTTTGGGCCTTGTCGATGATTGGACCATCTTTGGGTCGGATCGGGTTGGACATGTGTGGATCGGGTTCTCTGATACCATATTAAGGTGATGAGAGTTTAGGAATTGGAAGAAGTTATATTTACTCTCATAAGACTAACGATTAGGATTACATAGGTTTATATAGTAAAGAGATTTCCTAAACTAGATGAATACAAATATGTAAAATATCTTATATCATAACTATACAATATTTGATAATTTTTTTTTTTTTTTTTGATCAAACTCATACTTTCATTAATTTAGATAGCGTCAAACTCTAAAACTAGAGGAGGAATTACATCCAGCAGAAAGGAATCACACCAAAGCAAAGCAACAAATGCCATAAAAAACACCAAACAATGGTTAAACTTAGAGATAGATTGACACAAATCAAAGAAAGAGACCATAAGAAATCGAAAGATAACGATATCAAAAGCTTCTTGATTGACTGCATCCACTGCACGAGGAGTTGCAAAAAATGCAACAATAGCAGAGAAGAGCATCAGCCAGGAGGAAGATCCTTGCAAAACCGGCGACGCTTGAGCATCCAAACCACTCAATAGAGGGAATTTTGGGAAACGAAATTTCTCCATAAAGGAGATAAAAGGGCAGCAAAGACCCAACAGAACCAGAATCACTGGGGAAGACTTGTCGCTTAGTTTTCTTTCAATCTGCCACCAATAAAGAGAAACCAAACTCACAGCACCAAAGGCTGAAATCAATTCAACAGCAACAACGAAAGACCTGCATACTGCAGTAATAGGTCGCAAAAAAGCGAAATTTGGAACGAATGATAAACCCATAATCAAATAAAACCTGCAACTTACACAAGTAAGGAAGCCGATCTGAATATGGTGAAGGAATGGAGCAGCAAAGTATGGAGATGCAGCACAGCCAACGGAATAGGCGTGGACTCCAATGATCACTGTCCGCAATGAAGAACCACTCGAATCACCAAGAATGGAACAGATCTGGAACAAGACCAGACTCCACAGACTGCACATAGCAGTAAGACATCGCATAGACGCGAAAGAAGAAAAACCACCAGCAATTACAAGAGAAACCACTTCTCCAAAAGGAGAGAGAGACATCGAGAGGCTGGTGGAGAGGGAGGAGACACAAGCCAGCAAAGGGACTTCGACAATTCCGCCGGACAAAGACGCCGGAAAAGATGGATCTACAAACGTCACTGATAAGAAGCTGTCACAGCTTTTACTCACCGACGAAGACGCATCCGGAAAGGTCACTTTGGGAGGAGGATACGAGGAGGCCAAGCATAGAAGAGACGCCTGGGAAAGTGACGGAGATGAGACGTTGCGAGGAGGAGAGACGCCACAGAACAACACGACGGCGCAGAGAGGAGACATCAAGAGATCGGAGAACGAGAACCTAGAAGAAAAACAGTAGGAAAACAAAAGTGAAAGCGACGAACGGAAAAGATTAGTCGGCCCCTGTCTCACGGCCGAAGGCCGGAGAAAGGGTCGACCCTCAACGAGCGGCGGTGAGTGGAAGAAGAAGAAGAAGCACGGAGTGAGAAACGTCGGCCGGAGTAGGGAACGTCAAAGCTTTGTTGAGGCGGCTACCTTGGAGAACGTGCCCGAGAGAAAAGGTTTAGGGCGAACCTCTTCGTATACAATATTTGATAATATATTGTGGATCTTCTAGATCCTTCCATATCCTTCTATAGAAAGAGAATATTCCAATGTATATACTAACAGAAATAGGCGTACCACAATTCAACATGTAGCATTCGAGTATCTTAAGTATTAGAAGGTCTCTCATTTGCTTGGGATTAAGATCTTTGGGTAGTATATAAAGGATGTGGCAATCCTTAACTCTTAAGCTAGCTTTTGGGTTAAGTTAGGCCACATTCCTAATATAGTATCAGAGCCCAAGGTTGGCCCAACAAGCAAAATTCCCACAAAAATGGTTTCCCACCTATGTGCCCCATATAAGTGACATGTCTTGTTGTATTTCCGAGATGTTGGGCTTGGGCTGTTCCCGTTGGGCCGTTTCCCACCCACATCCCGAGGAGGCCTATTAGAAGGTCCCACATTTGCTTGGGATTAAGATCTTTGGGTGGTATATAAAGGATGTGGCAATCCTTAACTCTTGAGCTAGCTTTTGGGTTAAGTTAGACCACATTCCTAATATTAAGAAAACATCCAAAGAGTTAGTTTCGTACCTCACTATTACGAGGTGATCTCCCGCATGGCCGCATCAATCCATTATGGAAAATACAAAATCGAGTAAGCTTGTGGTACGTAATTCAAGATATCTTGAGAAAATGAACCAAGCATATCTTCGAAAAACGGACTACGAGAAGTATCATTACACCAATCTACGTACTTACGCACATATACGGAACTCTAGTACGTCTAGCATATTTTTTCATGTAGGTTATGGGGGAAGCTAATATGTGGATATAAATACACTGCACATACTTAAGGTAAATATTTAGAAGATTGTCAATAAAAAGTGTTGGGAATGAATAAAATCATCAGAAATTCTAAATGTGCTAAGTTTCTTGACAAATTTGCAAGTTGCAACCACATATATGTTCTATAAGCACGATCGATAAAATGGAAAAATATATTAGATTTATTTAGGAGGGTTGCTTTCAAACTGTTTAAAATTAAGGGGCAGCAGCTCTACCACTCAAGTTTTGATATGTCCCATTTCATTACATTATGAATAACTCATCTTGTTGATTGAGTACATGTGTCACCTTCCTTTCCGTTAAAAATTAATACATTATCCAATGTATATATTTGTGATCAATACCCAATATTCTTCAATGGAGCAATATCTATATTTCAAATAATAAATGAGGGAACTGCGCTCGTCCATAATATCATTCGAGGGACACAGCCAAAGTTTATAGTATACATTTTGGCTCTACAAATATTAAATATTCATATGGTGGATATATAGGCATTAACCAATCTATGCAAAATTGGTATTTTACGTTGAAGTCACCATGAATCACTTTTGTATAAGCGCATGATTCCGACTCAAAAGTGATACTAACTTTGAATATGTAAGAAAACTCGATATTCTCATTCATATAGTATATTTCAACGTATTATATATATTACAAAGTTAAAATACCAATTAAAACAATATATATATATATATATATTTCAACGCAAAAAAAAATCCCAACTCAATATATATTTGTCCAAAAATAATATATATTTCAACGTAAAATACCAATTTTCTTGCATATGTTTATAGTTTTAAAAAAAAATCTAGTTCACTAGAGAAACAGTGGGGAAAATGTATTACCCATCATACTTAATAGTCTTAATTCAATTAATAGTTGCTAATTTAAAGGCCGGAATATGAGATTGTGTTTCAATAGATTTTAATTGGCTGACCAGTTGACAGAAAAAAAAGAAAGAAAAAAAGAATAGAAGATTTTACCTATCGTTCAGGTTTCTAATCTTCATCTTTTTACCTATCGTTAGAATATATACACTAGATGTTGACATTAATTTGCAAAAGATGATGAATAGAAAAAATTATAAACAATTTAAGTCATTTACAGCAAGTGCTTTAAACAAATAACATAAAGTATGTGCTTCTTTGAAACAAATAAGATCGTACGTTAACCGATGACATTCTGCTATTTTACATGATATCAAGCTCATAGTTTAAAATTACTAGCAAAAAAATCTCCACTTATTTACTATTTTACAACCGGTTTTGTATGCCAAAAGTTTTTTGTAATTTACCAACTTCACCTTCATAATCCATATAAATTTCATATCGTTCTTGGTTAAATTAAATTGTTTTTTATCATAAAATAATGTTTTGTAATATTTTTCTTGTAAAAACATATCACTAATAATTACACAATTCTAAATTAGAATTTTGAAAACTAATTATTCTTAAACTAGTACAAAATCTTGAAAATATTTTAACCATTGATTCGTTATTGATGTCTGGAATTATATATGAGTCTTTATAGTTTAACTATTGTTTAAACCTTTTACATATAAATAATATATTTAAGATTTCAAAACGTTTCACACAATTTAAAATAATGTGGTTTGATTCGTCTTTGAAGAACTATATAGGATATAGAACAACGTTTATAAAATTTTAAAATTATGACGTCGATGAAGTTAGGTTTAAAAAGTCCATTTATTTTTTATTGATTGAATCAAATCTTTACATACGACAGTAACGGACAGTTGTTTTGGCAATTAACTTTCGCTAAGCTTTTTATTTAATTTTGACAAAAGCAACTTTTGTCAACTTAAGACAAATTAGTAGGTGAAGAAAAATTGTGATTTTTATGCATGCGCTCCACTGATATTGTATTGCTTTTAAGCTTATTTCTTTATGCATTGTCCTTATGTATATTAAGCTTATTTCAGTTTTTTCCACTTTATTAAGGTTCTCAAATTTTCAAAACATATGTATCGAAATACCTAAGAGTGAAATCACCTATCGCACTTTTAGTAACGGACTTGTGTTTTATGTATGAATTCCATTATTAAAGTTGATGGCTAACTCTCAGCCTCACATTGGCCATTCTATTAACTTCTGAAAAAGCCTCACATATGGGTAAATTATACTAATCTTCACTTCTGGAAAAGTAACTGAAACTAATCCAAAAAAGAAAACCGGAACCGGAACCAGAACCAGAACAGACAAAATATCAGAATATGCCCTAAACTTCTAGACCCGACGAACTAATACTGGATCCAAACCAAATCGATAACCGAATGGGTATCTGAACATACCAGAAATGCCCACATGATGGTGGGCTGGTGGCTTGGCGGGCCCAGGGTGGTTGGGTGCAACTCCCTCCTCTCCATGGTTCGACTCCTCCTGTTGTTATCAACATTATTGTTGGTTTACCTGGTAGTCAGAAATGCAGGCGGCCTGACTACCTCCTGGCACTTAGTCGGAAAGCATTCTAAACTTGGGATAGGCAGAGTGGTAGCCCGAAGGGCCTAGCCGTTAACACGGTGGACCAGTCCACTATGTAGCACCTCGGTGCGTTCCTACCGGGGCCGACCGGATAGCCGATAGGGTTTATCAAAAAAAAAAAAAAAACATTCCAGAAATATAAATATATATATATATATATATATTTAAATATATAAGTCATATTTATACTTATAATAACCCAAATATCCAAAAGTACTACAACTTTCGGGTATTGCAATTATACTTTCGGATAATTTGGGTAGATTTGGGTGATACAAATACTATTTTTAGGTATTTTGGATTTCTTTAGGTAATTTGGATAGATGTGGATATATTTCGGTGATACAAGCTACCACTTTTTTTGGATATTTTGGGTACTTTCGATTAATTCAAATACTTTTTGGATAGATCAGGATACAAAGTATCCATCCGAACTACACTCGTAAATTTTTCTGATTCTCACCGCTTCTCAATATAAAGACGAGAATATACCTGAATCCAAATTATAATCGAACCAAAAATTTAATATACTAAAATGGGACTTAAATGTCAAGACTCAAAAATCTAAATCCGGATTGGCCCAACCTGAATCCGACCAGAGTACTCAAATAGTCAAATGTCCAGGTCTATGAGGAATAATGAAACGTTGCAAAATGCTTCATATTTTCATCTTTGAAAACAAAAGTTTAAAATATCCGAATGAGATTTAAATATTTAGAATCAAAAACCTAAATCCGATGGGCCTGACCTTGAACTCGGTCCGAGTACTTAAATAGTAAAATGTCCAGGCCTTTGAGGAATAATGAAACGTTGCAAAATGCTTCATATTTTCATCTTTTAGAACCTTTTAACCAATTAAAAAAAGGTTCATCATGTTTACTAGTGGATTTAAACTCAACTTACTTTGGGGCTAACAATTTAAACCCAACAAGAATAAGCTCAACAAGGTTTAGTATTAAAATGTCCAACTATAACAAAAATAAAAGGCCCAAAAAGCCCAACGGTAAATAATATAAATCCATCACGTTCAATCATTTTTCTTTGGAATTTAATGTTAAACTAGATCATGACCCGCACGTACGTGCGGGGTTTCTTATTTTAAGAAAATGTGTTGTAATAAACTTTTTGTAAATATAGAAAATTTTATTGTTGGTGATATATATTCTTGTATATATATATATTAGAATGTATACATAAAAATGTAGAATGCTATTTATATTGTTTATGACACAATAGCTAATGTTGTGAACCATAGGTCAAATTTTGGAGTTTGAAATTGAAGAGTAAATTAGAAAAAAAAATCTTATTAGAAAGAAATATAATATAGGTTAGATTGATGTAAACAAATTTATTTTATATAGTATTTATAACACAATCTTAGATTAATTGTGAGATAATCAACGACATGGATGTATGCATAATATTTATAGAAAATAGATTGTACATGAAATTTGGTTTTAATTTGTGGATGATGACAAAAAATAATAATCTTAATTGCATATTTTAAATTTATGATGACGAAAATATTTTAAAAAAAATCTAAAATTTCCTATGATCCTTAATCCTTATGCATTATCGCAAATATGGTGATTGTTCAAATCTGTTAAAAAATTATATTAATGTTTGTTTCCAG